TTACCAACCTTCAAAAATAAACTGAATCGGCCACATCGGTGATACTTTCTTCCCCACTCATACTTTTTGTGGTTTCATATCCTGTAGGCTCGATATTCTTGTTTGAATATTTAAAGGTTTCCTAAAAAATGAGAAATTTGGTCATGTCCCATAATTTTTCCTCTCCGAGGTGTATTTCATGTAAAGCTAAAAATCGTTGTGTAGAGAAATCTTACCTTGAAGAACCTCGTAAATATAGCTGCCCAACAGCACGCCACTGGCATTCACCGGTTGGATTGGTAACCAACCAACCGGTCTTCTGCTGTCTTTTACACTGGTTAGATATATTGTTGCAGACTTTTTTGTAGACATGTAAAAGAAGAACGATAAAGAGTGAATTGTTTTGTTCTACTTCATACGGATTAGACCCAAACTCAGTTTTATCAAATGGAATACCGCGTATTTTAGTATAGTTTTGAAATTCCTAGATGATTCTGACTCATTTTCATAAAACATTTTTTTATATAGAAATAAACCATTCTNTAGTGATATATAAAAATTGAAATATTTCAGGAATCATAGAATATTCATCATGGATGTCAACCCTATTCAAAATGATAAAAATTCAATTCTCAATATGAATATATGACAACGATTGAAATATCTCCGAAACTGTCAAACATATTATGAAATAATATGATTTTTTTTGTTCATCATAAAATTCTTTACAAAAAAGTTTTCTTGCACTATTTTGTAGAACACATGGTTTTCAAAAATTCAAAAAATGATGAAAGGAGAAATCAATTCACACTTTTTTTTATATGAAGATGGAGAAGTAGAAAGCCAAAACCTTTCATTCACTCAATAGTATATTTATATTCCATAATAATGTTGTTTTTTCAACGTTACAGATGTTTTTCATGTCAAATAAGTCGAAATCATGTATTATGCACTGTGCCCCCAGATTCAAAAAAACCTTTTTGCAGAAATTTATAGTGTTCGTTCTGATGATCAGGAGAAATTGGAATACTTTGATATGGAAAAGAGCTCCACTGTACGAGTAATTTGTGACTTTTTTTGAAAATTATAACTCAATGAAAAATCCATCATTAAAATAAGTTGAGGATTTTCAACCCCAAAATTGTTTTTCCTCCAATTGAGTTAGTTTCATTCAAGAAAAGATAAACGCAATGAATTTGTTTTGTACTAAGAACTTGTATCTTGTTTTCATTGAAGGCAACTTGACATTTTTCAGTCAAATAATTATTCGGGTTTTTCCAAAGAGAAATCTTCCAAATTTGTTGAGTCATGTTTGTGTTGAAAATTCTCCGCATATATCGACTTTTTTTTTGGTAATTTCACCTTCTACGATGATTATGAAGCTAAAATAACCTCTATCAGCAGAAGCGCGAAAAAACTAATACTACTTGTAGTTTCTTCTTTGATTCGATTCATTTTGAAACGTCCTCGATAAATGTCAAAAAAGTTTGTTTTGAGGATGAGAGATTTTTTTGCAAATCTGACGAAGGAGGCAGATTTTATCCTTCGAAAAATTGTGGTGGAAGGTGAAAATATCCCAAAAAAGGTTGATAAAAGACATTATATTATACCCAACTGAAAATGTTATACTCTATCAATAAAATCCATTATGCGTTTTCCTCATTCTATCCAGTCCGGTAGCAAACCGGTAAAATTGATGAAAATTTGATTCGTTATTAATTTTCACTTTCTCTATTTTTTTGTGAACACGTCTGCTGTTTTGCGTTTCTCAGAGATACAAAAAAAGGATTTTTGTACAACTGTCATTGGAAGTGACATTTTAAATAGTTGTCAAAAGTATAAAAAGATAATGTTTATGAAGTAGCGCTATTGTTGAAAGTATTTTCAACACGATTTTTTTTGAACCAGATAGCAATAAACAAAACATAATTATTCAATCTTCAAGGAACTCTTATTACGAACAATAGATATAGATACAATTAAATTCTGTTACAAATGTATTATATACATTAATCAGTTGTGGAATTGGCCGCGGTGGTAGTGCGCCCGACTCACGATCGGAAGGCCGTGGGTTCGATTCCCGCCTCGACCAGATATTTTTCTCGAGAGCATTTATCTGGTTGAAGCTGGGATGATTCTGCAACCGTGTTAGGAATC